TAAATTAGTCTGGTGTAAATGAAATAAGTGAAAAATTACGTGCCTGGCAATTTATTTTGCTTTTAAATTTCATAAAATCAAACGTCTTAACTTTGCTTCTAATTGAATTTTACGGTCAATTTAAATGACTCAGCAGAACTAAAATCATAAAAGTTAAAATAATATGCATGAACTTTGAATATCAACGTAAGAAATTCTCTTCCTTTCTCTCTAGATATTGCGCCATCATAGCTTCTATTACCATAAAGATAGCAATATTGTTAATCATTAGGGATATATCTCTGCGCAACAAGAGAATTCAATTCAAGGTGAAGCATAATTTATACAAAATTATAATAAATCCCTCTAACGAACTATCGTGAATGCAGCTGCAATCATTAGATTTGCTAATAGGAATGAACTGATGTCATTAATAGCTGAAACGGATTAATTAATTAAAATAATTTTAATTTACTTGCATTTGGATAAATATTTGTTATAACACATTTTTGATATTTTACCCTAAAAGCTTAGAGAAATATTTTAACACTTGGTAAAATTAAAAGATAATTGTATTTTAATAATATTTGTAATTTAAAGATAAATTATTTCATCAATTATTATGAAACATAAATTATTATTTGAGGTAGCGAAAAAAATGGTAGGTATAGGAAAAAACTTGGTGAATCTCTTTTTGATATATAAAAAAGTTTTTGGGTTTGAACCGTGATTATATTTTGTTGTTCAATAAAACTTTAATCCTTTCTTCCTGAAAAATTTGGGTCTATACCTTTCATTAGTGTATTTGCACAACGCCAAAGTAATTTTAATAATGTTTAACATTTTTTTTAGAAAAAGTGTCTCTTCCGGTTTTCTTTCTGTTAATAATAACAGGTATACTTACAACTAATATTTCACTTGCTGAGATTAAATTAATTCTTAATTTTTTTTCTACATAATTAAAAAAAATGTGTTTAGATTTCATTTTTGATTTAATTTATTATAAAACAACCCAGCACAGTGGGGTCGTGGCATAGTTAGGTCCAGTATAGATGATATCTGATAGTGATTAAAATCACTATCATAAAAAACGCTTCGATACAAATCTGTAGATAGTGTTTAATTAAAAAAAAAAAAATTGTTAAAATAGCATATTTTTGAATATGGTAGCCATTTGCGCATAGAAGATAGGTCGTCTGGACAAATTTTTTTTTTTCATTTTATAGTACATAAAATAAGCTTTAATTTGATATATGTTTGAAGGACGCAGTATTTCCGGAACATTTTCAAAAATTAAGTTGAAAAAGTTAATTTTTGTAAAAAAGTTGCTATTTTAAATCCCCCCTAATGAGCAGGTTAAGTGATAGATTTTCAAAAAAATGATATCAAATGAAAGGTAAATATCTAACGTTTTAGTATAAAAAAAAATTATGTTGATTTGTTGATTTTTCAAAAAGTTATGGAAGTTTTAAGAAAAAAAAGTGAAAAAATTTCGAAAATTAGCGATTTTTAAATTTGTAATTTTTTTGGATATTTCCCCCATTTGCGGGGAACGAGGGAATTTTTTTCAATTTTTAAGGGTAATGTCTTCAACTAGATACGATTTGTGATCTTTTGACGTATTTTTGAAAGAAATCGGTCCAGTGAGAGCTGAGAAAAAGTGGCAACAGACATAAAAAAAAAAAAACACATCATAGTAAAATTAATACCTTCTCAGCTTCGCATCGAAGCTAATATATATATATATTTTTGATTAAAAAAATTTCTAACATATATAGGTTATAAATTTCCAATGAGATAGTTAACATAATTTTTACGAATTCTGAAAAACTCCAAGACTACTTTATGACAATAAATTAATCAATTATTATTCAATTTGTCTGAACCAGTAACGAAAATCACCCATTAATAAACCTTAGTATTTACATAGTGTTGTGTAAAACTAAAGGATTTATACTATGATTTTTCCAGCATGTGTTGTAAATTATATTTAGAGAAATTCGTTAGTCCAGCAAACGATTGAAATACATAGTCGAAAAGGTAAATGTTTCCAACGTTGTATAATTAAATACATTTTTGGGCTGTATTTCGGTATACTATTGCTTTGTTAAGACTATAAGCTTATGTATCATGCGACTTTTAGTGTAAAAAACGATCTGGCCAAATGACATATAATAAAATTGTTTTTTATCTTAACTATTAGCAGGTCATGGAGAGTTACTGCATTCTTCATTGTTTTCCCTTTTATATTCTATTTTTGTGCTCAATTTTTTCCAATTGAAAGTTTTTAAACGAAGAATAAGTTTTATTTCTATTTTCGATTGGACTAAATTCATTACACTGAAATATAGAATATCTTATTGATTGACAGACGAATATAACAACAATAGAAAGAATTACACTGAATAGAATCAAAGTTTTTATAAAGACATTAGTCAAACTTATAGTATTTATCGACCACCTTCGTATTTTCGATGACATTTATTTATTTTGTAAATCTAGTTTCCATTTACTATTTTTTAAAACTTCATTGTGACATTTTTATTAAATACTTGCAACCCAATAACAAGGGATATTCATTTTTACACAAGTTAAATAAAAACTACGGGAACATGTTGAAAGTATACTAAATCAAATATTAGTTGATTAATTTTGTTTTATCAAAAGATCATAAACTTAGTATATTGTATTTTTTCGTCTACTTCAGACAATCAAAAATAACAAAAATTGAGCTCACACTATTTTACTCATTTATGAATTATATTATTTCTCTTGTGGTTATTTGTCGAGATTGAATTTTTAATTCATTAACTGTAAATACGCAAGTATAATAAACCAAATAAATTGGCAAAATAATTTTATTTGGTTTTTATTTTATTGAAAAGCTATATAAAAAACCTAAAGATAAATATTGCTAATATATTTTTTTGTTATTAAACGGCTAGAAACACTGAAATTAAAATTACTCTTATTATATTCACAAATTGTAAATTCTATAACTTTAATTATTTTGGTGTTTTTTGTTTAGTCATATTGAATTTATCTAAAATTGTTTAAACCATTAACAGGCAATATTCAAAATGATAAGTAAAACGTAACGAATTACTGATATTTCAAAATAGTAAAAACAAAAGAACCTTTATAATGCCCGACATTTTTGTTAAACGAACTTAGACAATTAACCGAATCAAATTAAATTTATTATGCTTGTTCATAGTAACATAATGACGTTAAGGTTCTATAGACAATAACATTGCTATGTGTAATAGTAATTGAGTGGTTAGTCTGACTTGTTATTTATGTCTATTCGTTAAGTTAATAGTTTATGTATTTGTAAAGATTCAATTTTTTTAAATGATCTAATAATCAGAGTCTTTTAAAAAGAATGCATTGGTTGTTAATGTGATTGAGAACTGGATTACAGTAAAAAGGGTTTCAATAGAATATATAAATCTAATAACATGGATTAATTCTTATATTTTATCTCATTATCATTGTGTTCAATAAAAAAAAATTAATTCTGAATAACATGCGCACAAATAATCATACTTGAGTATCTTGAATTTAAATAAAATTGTATTAAGTCAAATCATATTAAAGACAATATATATTATTGAACATTTTATTTGTTTAATAAAAATGTTGTAATATTCTGTTAATTTTTTTCTATAAATCTTAGTTCTGAATCCTGTTAAAACAGTATCCTGCTTATAACGCAACCTGTGTTATACGAAGTTATATGATTTCTTCTTTGAGAGCATGTTAATGAAATTACACTGTATATCAATTTCTACTTTGGATATCTTTAAATAACTTATTAACACTAATTAATACCATTTTCTAAGAATTTATTCTAATATTTTTATTTTATTAAATGTAAGTCAAACAAAAATTCCTATTTTCTCATAAAAAATTATGAAAAAAATACATTTATTTTATCATTCAGTAGATGTGAAGAAAATATGAAAAATTAGTTTCAACTCAATGTATTGTTGATTATTAAAAAAAATGTGTTCATTTACGTGTAAAATCATTTTTATAATTTATTTTGACATTTGAAGCAAATTAATTATTTACATAAACAAATTTATTTATTTAACAAATAATAAATTTATCTTCTTCAAGAAGTTGTTGTCTCAATTATGTTTTACATCAAATCATTGAATAAATTTATTTTAAAGTGGTTGTTGAAAACTTTCTTGTCTTCAATATTTAAGGTATTTTGATTCAAATAAAATGTTAAACCACATCCTTAGTTTAATCTATAATTTCATATACTTGTTAGAAAAAGTGCATCGATGCTATTTCGATTATTCTTATTACATAAATATTTCATTGACGTTTAGTATTTTTATAGCAGGGTGATGACTACAAAAAAATTTGTCATTCCGCACAATACATGAACTTTTACTCAATTTTATATCTATTACAAAATAATTCTGTCATGTCAAACAAAATAATTGTGTTAAAATGTGCAGATAACTTTTCAACGATGATGGCAAAATGTAAAGCTAAAATTATTCATATTTAAAAAAATATTGATACACTCTTTGAATCATTATTGCTATAATTCGGTCATGTTAACAAAGGATATGTTTCGGAGTGTTTCCGAAACGTTTTCAAAAGTTAAGTTGAAAATATTAAGAAGTAAAGGGACAGATTTTCAAAAAATTATTCTCATAAAAAAGAAGTGTCTAGGGTATTTATAAAAAAAAATTGTTTTGATTCATCTTTTTAAAAATTATAATAAATAATAAAAAATCGTGGTAAAATTAAAACCTTCTTAGTTTCACATTAATGCTAAAATTGTTTTGTAGAATATACAACCAGAATATTTTTTTTTATATAACAATAATTTATTTGATATAATATAATTTTTGTTCTCAAAATATACGTTTCAGTTGAAAATATGTACATAGATTGAATAAATACACTGATAAATATAAAAAAAATATGTGTTTATCAAAATTATAATTAGCTATAATTTATAAACATTTAGCTTTTTAATGTTTTTTTTTTAGTTGGCGACAAACAGTGTTCTTTTATTAGCATCAAACTGTTTAGGGCTATTGTCATATTTCCTAGCCGATAAACAACAACGAACAGCATTCTTAGAGACTCGGCAATGCCTAGAAATGAAAATGATAATTGAAGAAGAGTCGGCTGAACAGGTAATGTTAAATTTTAATACCTCACATTTGCTATTTATAAAATCTTACAAATTCAAATTTTAACCGTCAAAATCCTGAAATTATATAACTAGTATAAAAACGCCAAATAAAATAATAATAAAGGTAGTAATATTTTTTAAATTAAAAGAAATATATAAATCTTTAAAAATATATAAAACGTATAGTAGTTTGTTGTAAACACAGTTATTTTAAATTGTAGACATAGTTATTTATTATTAAATTTAATTACTAAAAATAATATCTTTTAGTGCGTCTTTGAAAATCCTTGCAACTGCTGCTGCTCCGATTGTAAAATCCTACAAAGTGGATGTTAGATCCGGTTTCATCTTGTCCATCTAAAATTTCAATTAAATATTTTAATATTTAATTAAATATTTAATACTAAACTCATTGTTCTAATACAAACTTCTATGATACCGATCGTTGACTGAAGTGTTAAATGAAAGACAGACTGGCAATCCGTAGAAACAAACTAATAAAATAAAAAGTTGAAAATTGATCACAATATTTTCTAGCTTATATTCTATTACCGTAAAAAATAGTTAAAAATATTATGGAAAAACTTATATAAAATTTGCTTAAGAATACACTATCGAAATATGACCCATGACTGCTGGTATTTCTTGATATAATTTTTGAGATATCATGAATAACTTTTGAAAAAGGAGTTCTTATAGATATCTAAATTAAAGAATATCATACTTAATTTTGAATTTAAATTGTTTAACAAAATCATACGTTAATTGTTTGTGGAATTATTTCGGAAGTAACCAAAATATAAATATCCATTTTTCCTAATTCCCAAAATAAAGGATTTACATTAAAAGAATAAACTCTACTATTTTCACTTTGACTATGTATCATGGGCATAACAAGAGAATTATTACTCGATGACACCTAAAAATATTAGTATAATTTGAATATATATTTAAATTAAATTATATTTAATACATTAAAATACTTAATGTTGCATTCTATTTATATAGTATTACTTGGACTGCAAAAAGTATATTTGGTAATCCTGTCACGGTTAACATGTCACAACCACTGAACTGTCCAAAATACAATTCATAAGTATTAACACAAACATTTGGTAAAAATGGAATCTCTTTTGATTCAGCATAAGTAGAATCGGACATCACTTGTACTATTATATTAGCTTTAATAGTGCATACTTCAAGATCATTAGACAATAATGGGGTTAATCTACAGCTATAAAAACCTATAAATTTAATTCAAATTTCATATTTTACCAAGGCAATAGGTTTTCTTAATAATTTTAAATTATTTTATACAAGTTCATTAATAAATGGCCAGTATGGGATGCAGAGTAAAAGCACAGGTGGCACGCGCCCTTTCTATGAACAATTATTACCTAATAATATATAAGAAATAAAGGTATTTAGAATTATAAAATTGGCAAAAAAAATTTATTTTGACACTTAAAAAACTGCGCCCCCATTGATAATATTCTTGTAAATTATGTTATAATATAAAAAAAGAATGTTGATTACATAAAATAAAATAATAAATTAAAGAAAATTCTCGATTAGTTTTTATTTAAAATGTAGTTGAACATATAGTAAATCTAAATAGTATGTACCTGTTTTGATATTAAAATATGGAGTAACGTCAAAAACTCGTTTGATTGATGGTAAATTGATTTCATTTGTCGAAAATGGCTTAAAAGATGCGTAGCACTTATAGGGAAAATCTTTTATGGTTACATTTCGAGCAAAACAATTATCATCACGGTGCTCCCACATGTTTCCCTTTTTGTTTTTAAACATATGTGTCGATTCTTGTTCATTAAGCAAAACTAGTTGGACGTCAAACGTTTCAGCACTATTATACAAAGTTATTTTTTCAGTATTCAGTATCAATATCTGGAATATAAGTGTATAGATATTAAGAAGTAAACATAAAAAGAAATATGTGTACATTTTTAATAGGTAAAATTCGAATCCAAGTAGAAGTCTGTAAAGAACTGCTTGAATAATACACTGAAACTGACTCAGATGGTGCTGTAGCTACAGCAAAACCAGACGACTTATTAATCATTAATGAATTCATATTGTCTACATTCCATTCTCTTGATCCATCTTCAAACTTTATGGGCATAAAAAAACATATAACATCCCCAACACTTGCAAATACCTATGTAAAATATATATTTTTTGCAATGATACATATTTGTTTATGTAAATGTTTTCTAGAATAATAATGTAGTGTTCAGTAAGTAAGGAAATGGGTTTTTATTGTTCTCATTGATTGTAACATTTCCTTACTTTTTGAACACTGGTTAATAGGTATTATCAAAAGGTAATTTAGTATTACTTAATAACACCTGTATATTATACAGATGAATCAGACCTAATGTTATTAACTTTTGATACAATTAACATTTTGTTAAACATTTTTTTTCAATATTTATTATATTCTTAGACTATATTTAGTGTATGTTTTTTTATTATTTAATTTTAACAAGAAAAAATTTAATTTAATTTTTACTTTTTTTTTAATTTAAAAATTCCCATTTTTAACACTTTTTTTATAAAAAATTTTGATTGGTCGACAATAATTTTAAGAGAAGCACTTGATAAATTGCAAGCATTATATAAATAAAATGGATATGAAACACGGGTAAAGTATAATCTACTATTGTACGTCTTACAGCACCAGCTGTACCCACCTTACATCCATCAAAATTTTTTGTAAGAGCTAATCAATGTCTATTTTTAAAATTTCGAAAATTAAAAAAAAATAATTTTTATACATTTATTTTATTAATGATAAAAAACATGCTTTGGACATAGTTTAAGAAGCCAATAATTATCAAAAAAAATTCAACAATATGATAATTGTATTCAAAATTACAATGTATAGATTTGTCTCGCCCTCTTTATTAAGTATTAAATAATATGTATAATACTAATACTCGTGTTTTTATTCTTTAAAATAATTACTTATAATTTTAAATTTAAACTTTCAAAAAATATTCTTAATATCAATTAATACCTGATTAGGGTAAATTAAATGTTTTATGCTAAATTTGACATAATCTTCATTAAAGTCATTATCTCCATAACTGTACCAAATTTTTAACATAATATGGCCAGATTTTAACAGTGACACTAAAAAGGTATTTTTTTGTTCATCGCGTGTTATCTGTACCTATAATATTTTAATTCATATTTTATTATGTATCTATATTTTTTAGATTCTATATTTACTTGACTATTGTAATTTTTTGTATACATCAAGTCTGAATTAACAGCTTTAAATTGATTCCCTTTACTGTCGTGATAAGTTATTTGTAGTTTTAAAAATTTGTGAATTGGATTACAAGGTTCTTTGACAAATATCATGATATATTCTACTTTTTTGACCTAATTAGGTAGTTAAAATTTTAATAATAATTCATCAATTTTGAATTTATTATTATTATTTTACTTCAACAGCAATAGTCAATGTTTGTTTAGTATTGTAGTTATCTGTTGAAATTACCATCACATACGCGTTGCCGGAAATATTACTAGTTCTTAAAATTCCGGAATTTTCATCAATAGAAATAATAGGATAATTACTAGGTAAAAAATTTAGATCATTTTCACTATCTTCGATGTTACTTCCCATGATTTTATAAGAATTTTTGACCAACTATGACAGAAAAATATTCAATTCATTTTTACAAAAGAACAATAAAAGTTTGCTTTGAATATTTTTTATTACTTTGTTATTATCGTTGGTATTTAATGTAAAATCGGTTTCGGGAGCTAAAAGCAAACTGTTGTAAGTTAACCCTGATGTACCTAAGTATAACTCTTCATAGATTGTAAGTCCTATTGAACTCTTGTAATAGGTTCCAGATAAGGAGTTATAAATTGAAACATTTATTAAAGTACTTCCTTTTTTTATAGCTTGAATACGAACGGATATTCTATCTTCTGCACGAACCTGTAATAATTAACAGAAATATTTATTATTTTAAAAGAAGCATCTTATTTATCATATAAAGAAGCACTATTATTTTCTTAACCAAAAATTATAGTCATAAATTGAAAGAGATTTCTAGTTTATGCATTAATAATAAATTGTTTATTAAATCATCTTACCAAAATACCAGATTCCTCCATAACATCAAAAATTTTGACTACACCAGTGGTTGAAGTACTCCAATGAAAAGTTAAGGGTGGATCAATAGTGCCTATAATCATAGGATCTAAAGTAACAGGTATGCCTCTTACCCAAGCCGGTATAATTTGTCCAACTTGCATTTTTAATACTGGGACTTCGATTTTAGCGTTAGTCATTTGTATAACTTTCACTGTAATTTCATCTGACGTAATAATTCTACGATGATTAAAATTACTAGGTGGTTTGTCGACATTTATAGCTTTGCAAGTAATTTTTGCTGTTCCTAATGCGATAGCCTTTACTACACCTTCTATTGACATTTCCACGATTCTTTCGCTGTTAGTACTATACTCAAAAACACTACCTACTTGAGGACCTCCTGAAATTGTTAACCAATAGTGTGCTCCTACAGTTAATGTTAATGTACTTGGAGATAGTTTCAATGGAAAATAAACCCGAATTGTTATTTGTGGTGAACGGATTTCTTTTGAATTAAATGAGTCCATAGCAAAGTATATTTTAGTATCTCCAATTTTAACTCCTTTTATGATAAATATTGTTGATTTTTTTTTTTTAACACTAATAATCCCAGATTTATAAATAGGTCTTACATATATAGAATCATCAAATTCAAAACTTAATAAATTATCATCTGAATCATACATATTAAGAAAAATTTGTGCTTCACTATTAATTTCTAAAAACTCATCAACTATAACTTCAATGCGATGAACATTTTTAACTACTAACAAAGCTTCTGCTTCTTTTGAAGGTGAACATAAATCTCTTACAATTATGTTTATGTGTCCTATAGATTTTGGCATCACCTCAATTGTTCGTTGTCTTTCAACAATCACAGCTGAATTATAAGGAACAGTTTCGATATCAAAGCACCCTGAACCATTTTCCAAGTAAAATATACACTTTAACATAGGTTGAAAAGTAGAAGTCAAATTAGTAAAAGTAAACATAACTGGATTTATCAAAAATAAGGTTAATGTTTCGGAAATAACATTAGAACTTAATTTCACGAGTTTTTTCTTTGATGAAAAACCAAATATGGTGGATTCTACGCATGAAGTTCCTTCATTTTCAATAGTAAATGTTGCATCAGTTCGACAAGCCACCTTTGCGCTTTCAAAAACAGCGTAATGATAATTGACAAATTTAAATCCCTTTTTCTCAATTTCATTTGTTGCAAACCGAACAGTGTTTTTTAAAACAGAAGGGTTTTTTACAATCCAAGTACCATTAATTCCTGTAGCATTATAAAAAATGTTTTCATTTTCATCCATTATATCAATCCGTATATAAATATCCTCCTTACAATTTACAAAGACTTCATTAGTGTGCTTTAAAATACATTGTTCATTGTCATTTATATTTAAGAATCTTAAGTTCTTAGGTAAAGCACAAATAATTTCAACTGAAGATAATGCAATAATTTCTGAATCTATTTTAGATGTCAAAAAATTTCTTTTGATAATTAGAGTGGCTTTGGCTTTTCCTAATTTGTTCGTACATTTTACTCTGTAACCATACGTGTCATAGTCATAAATTTCTTTGGTGATTGGTATTTCTAATGATTCAATTAAAGTATTGTTTGTCACAAACTGGATGTTGTAATTGTTTGCAATATTTCGTGGACCCCCATAAAATAATAATGTAGCTTCACTACTTTGTGCTAAAATCAAGTGTCCAGATTGAGGATATAGTGGTACTAGTTTAGGAAATATCTTAACGATTGATTTTGCTGTTAAGACCATGTTATAGGTTTTATAATTTATAGTGATCTTAAACATTGAAACTGCATTAATAGTCATAGAAATAGCAGCACAAGATTCCTTTACGTCGAACTCTCCTTTAAATGGTTTACAATCTACTTCATTACAAACATCTACATAAAAGTGATTTAAATTACACACTGTCACATTTTTTCGTCCATCTTCATTATGAATGAATAACTGTAAGTACAAAATAATAGGTCGGCCAATTTCTTGTTCAGCAGGTTGTACAACTGTTTGTAATTCATCAGGTATTATTACATGAACAATAGATTCATCATAGTTTGTAGGATCTAAAGTCATTGCAGCTTTTACTATAGCTTTGCCAAAATTTAATGGTGTCAGATATCCCAGAGAAGATACAAAACATACATTTCTATTACTAATAATCCATTCATAATTACTATTTTCATTAAAAACTTTTAACTGTACCATAGAGCTATAATTAAAGCATCATAATTATATAAATATATGTATAATTAGGGAAAAATAAAGGTAATACATAAATAATTAAATAATTACAAAAGAATTAATGATAGAAAAAATATATGTCATTCTAAAGTTCAATTATTTTTGTATATTAATATTGCTTGGAAAAATCTTAAAAATCTTAAAATTGTTATAAATTTGAATAAAATCGCTAAATAAATAGGTTAAATAAACCTATTTATTTAGCGAACTCATTTAACTTATCTATCATATAAATTAAATAATGAAATTATATGTATAGAATTTGACCAAGAATCTCATAAGTATATTTACTAAAAGTATTAAGTTTTAAAAACAAATGCAGCGGTGTTTTTGTAGGAACACGGAAGTATATGACCTTTATCCATTACAATTTTGTGAATTTCAACCTTGTAAAAATATGTTTCTATATTTATAGCTTATAACTATAATAATTTTGTAAAACTTTATTAAAAATATGATATTGGGCTTTTTTTTTTTTACAAATGTAATTTGTACAGACTTTAATTTCAAAAGGATATTTACCTATTATTTTCGTACGTATGTGGAGATGGAAATATTACATAGTTGGGTGTTATTTTTATTTTAGGATGTATTGCAGTTTTAATATTGACGTTTAATTTTTCATCTTGATAAGGTTGCTTTAATAATGCTTTTATGGTTGTTATACCAGTTTTCAAAGTCCTTACTAAAATATAAGTTCCATTTAGAGTCTCGTACAATTTTTCAAAATATTTCTGACATAATTTTATGTTCACTTTTACATTTGGCCCTATTGTTATTTGTTGATCGTCACTAAAAATATAAATAATTTATTTCATAAATTTTCCATAAGATATATAAATGTAATGTATAAAATAAAATCATATACATATCATTGAATAATATTAATTTTATTATTAACTAGACAACATAATAATGGTCATTTCATCGCGATCTATTGAGTATTATACAAAAACAAAAAAAGTGACGAATAGAGAAATGGGTTAACACGACGACAATACTCGACACATTCCTAAACGTGGTAAATAATATATAAAACCACGGCGAAAAAAAACAACGNGCAAAAACAAAAAAAAGTGACGAATAGAAAAATGGGTTAACACGACGACAATACTCGACACATTCCTAAACGTGGTAAATAATATATAAAACCACGGCGAAAAAAAACAACGATGGAAGGTATTTTTCAACCACAAATTGATTTATGCTTTTCTGTTATTTCGTTTCCGTTTTAGTGTACAGATTGTGCTAGCTATATGAATTATCAAGGATATGTTTAATTTAATGTGAATCATATGTTTTCTCTGAATAAATAATTCTTGGATGCTTTGTCAGAAATCACTAAGCAATATTTCTGAAACTTATTTCTTCATCGAAAAATGTATTGTTTATATGAATATAATTAGTTCATTATAAATGTTAAGAAAATGTTTAACTCTCAATTTTGTTTTGTTAACATAAAATATTTGACTATTTGTTTTAATTCAATATTCAAGTTTTAACTTTGTTACCTCGAATACAAATGAACTTCTACTGAATAAATGTTTCCAATAGCTAAATTTCGACTATTAACTGGTTGAAATACGATCGACAATCTGTTTGCTTTTTTTACGTAGATTATGCTACTAACCATTCCATATATTTTATTTTCTATTACATCTTTCAATTTTATTTCGTCTTGCCCTTCAGTAACGCCATAAAACTCGTTAGTCTTATTTAAATATCTAATTATTCTTTCAGTTTTTGATGATATCATTTCAAGTGAATATTTTTCATCGTTTACCTTCGATTTTTTTTTTCTTCTATCTTCAAACTACAAAATATTAATATTTTAAATTTTCAAAAAACAAAAAATATGTTAAAGAAATTTACGAGTTCATGCATTTACTTTAAATATATTTATTTGTATACGATCACCGAGTAAAATTGTGACCCGTTCTGGTTCTAACACTAAATCATCAATAACGTGCAGCTGAACGTGAGTTTTTATATTTGATGATTTTAAACTGACAGACAACTAAATAGACATTTAAATTATAGTTTTTAATTCGAAAAAAATAATATTTTAATTATTGACTATGACACACTTTGCTACTTCCAATTTGTATCCCTTGAACAGGTACAACATGTCTTCTACGATTATTTGAAAATGATTCCGAAAATTCTGGTGGCAAAATTTGAGTCTGTGAATTATCCAGGATCATAAGTTTTAATACACCCGGAATTGAATTGTCATTTACAGACCATTCATATTCAACACCATCAAGTGTACTGAAAATGTTACCTAAAATTATAGTTTTAGTTAATTTTTTAATTATATGTATTTAAAAAAAATAGCTATTTGACCTTGTTCATCGTATGCTGAAAATTCATACAGTTCTGGGGCGTCCCCAACTATAAGTTCTTTTGTCTTCGTAATTATTCCTAATGATGCTATAGCACTTACTATAATATCATAGTATACTACCTTTCCTGTATCCGTATGCCTTCCACTTATAACTGCTGTAGTTCGTCTATTAGACTTAGGTAATGTTGATACAGTGACTTTGACTGAACAATTAAAATCATAGTTTATATCATCAAGTTTAAGAGAGGTGATATCCATTCCTCTTACTATTGACCTATGAAAATTTATCAAAAATAAAAATGGTTGATTGAAGTGTCACAATTTTATATACCATTGATTACAATAGCCATTTTCTGCAACTAAAATTATACTCGCAGTCGTTCCATTGACGTTTGGCAACCATATTCGCCTAATATTTGAAGTTAAGTTAAAACTCTTACTATATTCTGACTTAGTCAAAAATAATAGATAAATAATATACACATAGTACATTTTAATTATAAATAAAATTTCAAAAACTTTATTTTTATTACTTTATATGAAATATCAAAAGAATCACTTAAAGTAATTTATATTGACAAATGTATATTTTTTAATAATGATATCTATAGCAACACTTATCCCGAATAATTCTTTAAATGCACTGACTACAGCAATAAACGTAATCAATTAAAATATAGCACTGGGTAGTAATTACTCTATATTATTCAAGGCGCTAAATATATGCAAAATTGGTACATAGCTGTGTATGGCTCATTAGTTTTCATATAATTCATCTTATTTTATTTAAAAAACAATTGAATTATTTTAGTAGTAATCAAAGTTTAACTGGATAAATAATCATGCGCAATGATTTACATAGTTTATGAATAATTTTTTTTAATACTTAAAGATAAGCTGAGTAAACTTTTATTTGCAGTAGTACAAAAATCGTCTGGTTATGTTTAGAAATTGACATGGCATTATTTTATCGATATTTTTGAATAACTGTAGAAAATATAATAATAAATTAGGGCAATACTTCTGCTACTAGCAACTGTTGACTTGACAATTAAATAAAAATATGCAACTACGCATTATTTTAATACCAATCAATTGGACCCTGCCATCGTTCAATCGACTCCAGTACATCAAGATTTATTGTCAAAACGTCATTCTCAGTATACGGTTTTCGCCGTCCGACTTTCAACCTTTCGTCAAGAGATTAGTTTCATTCATCCTTGATGCCTTTACTTTCCCTGTTTCTTCTCCTTAACTGACTCAATTACTTGTGTCTTGTATCTCGTCAACACCTCATACTTTGCTATCTCTCTTAATAAAGTCAAGTACATATGTCGTGCATCTCATTCTTAATTACACTTTCGTAAAACCTTAATATTTATGTTCTGCACTTCGTTTACGCCATAAATATTGCCACTACTCTTCTATATTCTCTATAATAACGGCTCTTACACAACTTCGATAGAACTGGAGTACCAACTGAATATACTGTGGCTACTAACATTACATTAAAGCCGATCTCGTTTTCTGTCTTAAAGAAAATTATGTAAATCTGTGTTATACATAGTAAAGATATTTATAGGACGCGTGAGAAGAATTAAAAACTTATTGTGAAACATTTTTTAATGAAAAACTATGACTGCAACTTATAATCATAGCAAAAATAAACTTAGTGAGATCAAGTCTAAATTTATTCTATATCATACTAAAATAATACTTTTTTAACATTACGTCTCGACGTAATATTTCATTCTTAGGCGATGCGTCGATAAGAATGAAATGAATCTAAAGCAAAATTGATGATTTTTCAATAGACCGTTTTATGAAACAACTTTATTAAATATTTACATGAAACTTTACATTTTTATTTAAATTATTTTACAGTAAAATTTTTACTATGAAATGAGTATAACAACAACAAAAATTGCGTTAGATTCTTTTTATTCTGCATTGATGAATAATATAAGACTAGAATTTCATAGTTCTTCTACTATATTTTAGGAACGATTGTTGCTATCTGTATTACCAGAACACGTCGCAGTAAAAATGAGGCAAGACTTAGGAGAAGCATTAGATAGTCAATTTAAAAAAATCTATATGAGCCGTCATGAAAATGTTAGGTAATTGATAAAAAAATTCTTTCAACGTTTTTATTAATACAGATTTTTCTTAAACTAAATAATCTCTTTGTGGATGTTTTTTTTCGTTATTTACATACGTATTTTCATTTATTTGTTATGAAATATTTTTAGTGCTCATCCTATAATTATTACAGTGGTGTCAACTTTATTTTTTCAAAAAGCATCATAATAATTAGCTTATGAAATAGAAAATTATGTAAATAAAAAAATTACTGATAGATAAAAAATTTTGCACCAGTATTGCAGAAGTTATTAAAAATTTTTACCTATACGGGAAGAGGAATAAGTCCGAGAAAAGTCTAGTAAAACAATTAGCACCACCTGATTATAAGCTAGATGAATATGTATGCTGTCATTAGAAAAAAAATTTATACCCTATAATGCATAACAGATGAACATAAAAAATATTTTATAACAGATAAATAGAGATATATTTGTTATTATTATTAAAGCCAAAAAAAAAAAAAATACTTTTAAGAGAAATTGAATGGCTAACATTATAATTATCACTCTTTATCACTCAAGGTTCATATATACATTGTATAAATCCTTGTATTTAGAGAAATGGATGTTTTTCTTAAAAAAAATTAAATATAAGGTAACTTTTTATTATTGTTCGAAGTATTTTGTATGCTGATATCGTTGGATTCACAGCTATATCATCAACTTATTCTGCGTCGGACTTGGTGAAAATACTAAATGAGTTATTTGCCCGATTTGACAGACTATCAGAAGTAAAACATTCATGAGTTATTAAAAATTCAATATAAAATACAATAATACTTTTTTTTTATATTCCCGTAGAAATATCAACAATTAAGAATAAAGATTTTGGGTGACTGTTACTATTGTATCAGTGGTGCTCCAAAAGAAAGACCTGACCATGCAGTCCTAAGTGTTCACATGGGATTGTCAATGGTTAAGGCTATCAAGTAAATATTTCTTCTTTATTCTGGGTAATTAACGAAAGTATTAATTCTAACAGCGTTATATTTTACATCAGATACGTACAACAGACTACTAATTCACCAGTAGACATGAGAGTAGGTATTCATACTGGAGCTGTACTGGCTGGAGTTCTTGGCCAAAGACAATGGCAATTTGATGTATATTCTAAAGATGTAGAACTAGCGAATAAAATGGAAAGTAGCGGAATGCCTGGGTGAGATTCTATTTCATATAATTAAATTTCTCAGTATACTAAGGTATATAAAATTTTAAACAATTATATCAAATATTTTTTCTTATTAAAAATCTTCTTCTTTTTTTCGCCTTAATCCCAACTACTTGGGGTCGGCTACCCTTATCCTAAACTTCCACTTGACACGATCTCCCACATCGGCTGTCCTCATTCAATAACATCTCTCCTTTTATTTTTTGGTCTTCCTCTACCTCTTCTTCCTTCAACATTCATTTCTACAACTGTTCTTACGGCTTTCGATTCTTCTCTTCTCATAACATGACCAAACCATCTAATTCTTTTTTCTCTCATCTTATCCACGATTGACGCTACACCTATACTCTCCCTTATATGCTCATTTCTTATACTATCTTCTCTAGTTAATCCACTCATCCATCTAAGCATTCACTGAAGAACCTCTCTCGTTACTGTTTCATACACTTTCTCCAAATCTATAAATATCATACACAGCTTTTTCTTCTTTTCCCTAAACTTTTCTATTAATTGCCTCACACAAATTAATGACTCCATTGTTGACTATGACTCCATTTTATTCTTATTAATAATAAATCTGCTAAATAAATTAAATATCAATTTGATTAATATTATAATAATTTCTATTAAATTATTGATTACAAAAAAATAAAATATTATTTTAAAATAAAGCAGTAGTTTTATAATAATATTTGAAAATTCCATAGTATAAATTTTACACTTTTCAAATTATAATTGGTAGTAGAAACTTGAATTGTTTGCTTAATAGTTTTAATTACTCCCGTAAATTAATAAATATTGCATTCATATTTCATGAAATTCGGCTGGAACTTCCAAGTTAAAATATTTATATCTATATACACCTCAGATATTAAAAATAGTGTAATGTTGAACTGAGACGAAAATTTGAATTGAACTGCTAAATTAATAAATTAAATATTTTCTTACAATCTATAACATAAAGAAACATTGTTTAAGAAATTTTTTTACTGTAAAAATATTGATACTAAATTAGGTTTACATTGAAAATAAATAATAAATAAGTTGGTGTGTTAATTACGTTTTTAAAAAAAATTAATTTATGTGTACTTTATTTCCGGTAATGCGATATGAATAATATTAGAATCATAAGTTTATTATTATAGACGAGTTCACATATCTGAAAAAACTTTAAGTTTTCTGAATGGAGAATTTGAAGTAGAGCCAGGCTATGGTGAACGCCGTGAAGAGGCATTGAAAATGGCTAATATCAAGACGTTCTTCATCATCAAAGTAATAAAACCATTCAAAAAAGATGTGGAAAATGGCAGTTCTATAAATGATCTTAACAGTAGTGCCAGCAAGGAATCAGTGGTAGGTTATTGAATAACTTCATTACATAATTTGTACCAATAATAACCATTTTTACAGTGTATCACCCCAATTGATAATACCGACTTAATAGCTCAAGCAAAAGAAGATTCTGAAAATTTCAAAAAACGACTCCGAAAAGATTTGATGAACAGAGACGGTCACAGGTATACTTCTCACTAAAACTTCTCCTGCATTTAAACTATTAATTAAAATACATTTTTATAAATTATATTTGAAAACTCAAAAAACAATTTATTTTTAAATGAATAACTACTACACTACGTTAATAGAAAAATATTGTTATTTTACCATTCAAATTAAAATTGATGTAAAAATATTAAATTCATTTATAAAATGAATACTCTTTGGACAAATTTATTTAAAGCACCTTAATAAATTGTCATTATTTATATAAAGCCTGATTGTTTTATTAAATTAAGAATAATAAAAATTTTATTTGAGTTAAGAAGACGGCTGGTCGATAACAATTTTTACCAGTATTTCAGAAGTTAAATGAATGTGAGGCGCAAATTCTGCTCTATTTATCACTAGACATTTCTTCGCTTACCCTTCACCTCACTTAGATATAAAAATGTAGATAACTTATGAGATATTGATCAAAAGCTGTTATCAACCAGTTATTTATTTAATTAGATCATTATTTAATAAATAAGCTTGTTAATTATATATATTGTCCCACTTGAAAAAAATTAAGCTGTCACCTTTAAGATAAAAGTTATAAACATTAAAAATATTTTATAATTGATAAATTTAACAAAACTTGTAACAAAAAGAAAAAATTATCAATATTATTTTTACATTTTGATTAATTAAGTGGTTTTTGATACTATAATTACACTGTATATATGCATTGTTTACAGATACCTGTAAATAACAAATTTATATTTTTTAGTGAAGTTTTATTTAAATAATATATTCAATAATAGTTCTTTCAATCTGTATGTCAAAATTATTTTGTATATTAAAAAATATCAGTTTTTGTTTTCAATTCAAATCTTGTTAATGCACGATATACGTTATACACGTAGGAAGTTTATAATACCTTAATATTACGTTGGGAATTTTATTCTGTACGATAACCAGCTATTGTATATATTTTCTTAGAGATTTAAACAAGCACACAAAGTTCTTCACTTTAGCATTCCAAGACAAAAAGAAAGAACGCGAATATAAATATCATAAAGAAGCAGCATCCGGTGTTTCTCTTATCGGCTGTCCTTTAGTTTTGTCTCTAACGTCTTCTGCGCAACTCATCATTTTGCCTAGGTACACAAATTTAAAAATATGATAATAGAATAGTTAAATTTTTATCTTGTACTAATTTTTATTTTTTCAGAGATTTTTTAAGTTACCTTACCAGTTTATTAGCTTTGATATTGCTATTAATTATTGTTGCTGTATCCATAGCAGACATTTTTCCTAGAGTAAGTTTAATAAGTTAAATAAGTATTTATATTTCATTATTTTTACTGTGGGGTTTACACAATCATAAATTTAGTATTAAATAGGATTGAGCAAATTTAAATAATGTATAAATAATTATATTTTTACTTTTATTAGAAGTTTATTTTTTGTCAAAAATGTTGAATGTGTATTACTTTTCTTATCATCTTTAATTTTTTTTAGATTTTACCACCAAAAATTGTCTGGTTCAGCGAAACCATTAACGATTCACTGTGGACACGCAGAATTCTTGGTATCGCAGCTGCATTTTTGTTAGCGTCAACAAATTTAGTTGGAATGGTAAGTTTAATAAATTGCCAAGTACACATATATATATTTTTTTAGATTTAAATGTAATAAGTGTTATGTCACCTAGTCGACACCTTGGCAGGGTACCCAGCATTTACGCTTTTATGGATACGACTTATATCTTAATTCAAAAAAATTAATTACAATATTTTTCTAGTAAAAAAAAAAAAACAAACGTATAGCATAAATTAAACTAATATACCAATGTTACAATACAAATTATATATATATATACAGAGTGATTTTTTTATCATAACCCACTCAATTACTTGCAGAATAATAATAATTTAAACATTTTTTTTTTTCATTATCTTTAGTTACACATTATTCTTGAATTTTTAACTATGTAATACTTTTTAAGTTCATCCCTTATGCCTTGGAAGGGGGTCAACTTTGTTTTTTTAAATGGTAACACATATTTTTAATTTAATAAAATGTTTGAGTTTTTAATTTAATAGTAAATGGCATTTGAATTTTTAATATAACTTAATTCGTTTATTAGATATAATCATTTAAAGTTTCAAATTTTTGAATTAATATACAGGTATAATACACAAGGGATTACAAATATAGGTAGCTAATTGGTTTTTTATAACATCGATATTAGCAGGTACACAGCATTGTTATTATCAATTGTAGTAAGGCACATTGTTATGAGTTTATAAATACACTTACTAACTATACAAAAAGTATAACTATTGATAATCATAATTGATAATAAACAATCCGTGACTGAGACAGCAATGTCATAAAAATCCAATTAGCTACCNTACAGCATTGTTATTATCAATTGTAGTAAGGCACATTGTTATGAGTTTATAAATACACTAACTATACAGAAAGTATAACTATTGATAATAAACAATCCGTGACTGAGACAGCAATGTCATAAAAATCCAATTAGCTACCTGTATTTACAATCCCATGTGTATTATACATGTATATTAACTCAAAATGTTGAAACTTTAAATGTTTATATCTAATAAGCTAATAAAGTTTTATTAAAAATTCAAATGCCATTTACTATTAAATTAAAAACTCAAACATTTTATTAAATTAAAAATATGTGTTACCATTTAAAAAAACAAAATTGACATCCTTACAAGGCATAAGGGATGAACTTAAAAAGTATTACATAGTTAATAATTCAAGAATAATGTGTAACTAAAGATAATNTTACATAGTTAATAATTCAAGAATAATGTATAACTAAAGATAATAATAAAAAAAAAAAATGTTTTAATTATTATTATTCTGCAAGTAATTGAGTGGGTGGGTTATGATAAAAAAATCACCATGTATATATATGGACATCAAAATTATATTGGTCACAATCGGTGATCTCGGATATCAGCTATGGGTTCTCAAGTTGAGATACTCCACTATCCGTCTTATGATCGGTTTTAGTAAGAAAAGCGCCAGACTGGATTGCCGACCGCGTAGACGCGCTACACTTGATCGGCGGCCAAACAATAAGCTTATAAAATTGCTTCGAATATATTTATGTTATAGATACCTATAAAATTGTCAAATATTAAATTATTTTATGATACCTTATGAATAATTCAGGAATTTAACTCGGATAATATCGATTTTTTCTGGTTTCTCAAACGACCTAAAACCGATTTTTATAACCGAATCCGATTATTTTTCAAGACCAAGACACAATTGCAACCCCAAACAAATCAAATGGCTTTAGTCTCTGGAATGATATAAACAAGTAGACTTAAAAATAATTGTTTTACAATGAATAAATAACTGAAATATTTTTATAATTATTTTGCATTGGTAGAAAATACATAAATTGATTAAACTAATCTAATATATGCAAATCTATATTAATTTTTTTTTATTTAATACATACCCGCGGCAACAAAAGCCATTGGGTGAACAATTACAATTTTGGTATTTTACAATTTATTACTAATATTTAATACATGAATTATTACGGTAAATTTAAGGAAATTTGTATTTTATATTTTGTTTTGCAATTCAGACATTCTTATAAATTTTAGAGTGGCTTCAATTGTTTTAGTTTCTAGTCCAAGAAACTCTGAACGACGTTCTGGTAATCCAGCTCGTCTTCTGCTTTCCATGAAATTGATGCATTCTGACATTATGTGTTTAATTGTAAGTCGTTACAGGATTCACAGGTTGGAAGATCTTTTTTGGTCATAAGATAACTATGGGTAATATGTTTGTGACCTATTCTGAGTCTTGTTAGTATTACTTCCAGTTTTCTTGGTAACTCTAGTGGTAAATGTCAGGGTGTCACATTTTGTTTTATCTCGTGTAATTTTGTGTTGGTTGAATTCCAGTGCTCTTGCCATTTTATTGTATATTCCGATTTAATTAATGAGTATAAGTCTTGTTTTGTAATAAGTTGAACTGTTATTGCTGATAGGTATGTTATTGCGTTCTTTGCTGCTTGATCTGCTAGTTCATTTTCTTTATATTTGAATGACCTATGATCCAGCATAATTGAATATCACATCCATTTTCTTTGGCATATTGAAGAGTATTTTGTACTTTGACATTTATATCATTCATGTCGTATGTATTTTTAATATTATTTATTACACTAAGAGAGTCTGAAAAAATTTTTTAACTGATTAATATGGTCGATCTAAGAGAGAGTTGGGTCAAAGGTTATTCCGAAAATTTTAATTGTTTTTTTTCTTTATGGGAGTTTGATTCATTAATTTATTTTGTCAAGTAATATAATCATATTTTATTTAGTACGCATATATAGAGATGTGCCTATCATTTGATGTATCATAAATTATTTGAACTAAATATTTTTAGGTATCCTGTTGGTCTGATAAACAGATTCCTGTCAATTGNTGTCAAAGGTTATTCCGAAAATTTTAATTGTTTTTTTTTCTTTATGGGAGTTTGATTCATTAATTTATTTTGTCAAGTAATATAATCATATTTTATTTAGTACGTATATATAGAGATGTGCCTATCATTTGATGTATCATAAATTATTTGAACTAAATATTTTTAGGTATCCTGTTGGTCTGATAAACAGATTCCTGTCAATTGCACTCAACTCCACAATGATCCTTCTAACATTTGCATGTACCCATCGTATTTTACTTATTTTATGGTACTAGCATTAATAGCCACTTCGATGTTAACTCAATTGTCACATTTCACCAAAGCTGCTATCCTAGTCATTATAACTCTCATTCACTGTATCATTAATGTGATCACTGTTAGTAGTGCTATTGACTGTGAAGATTCCATAAATTGCAAACCTTACAGGTAATTATCAACATCAGTTAAAATTAAAATTATTTCGAATAGTAATATTTTTCAATACAATTCTAAAAAAATTTTCAGGATTTTATCGTCTAAGTACGCTTTATCTTTTTTGCTCGCTGCCGTTACAATGGCACTGATGTTTTTAGCAAGAAATGTGAGTATATTTTTTTTAATTAATTTATAATTTCGAAAAACTATGCATGAAAGTTCATTATTAAAATAGAAACATTTTATTAAAGATGGACAAATCGTCGAGGGTTCTCTATTTATGGCGAACAGAAGTAGAGGAACAACGAGAAAGAGCCTCGGATATTCGACGACGTAATGAAGCATTAGTATACAATATATTACCACCACATGTAGCCAAACATTTTCTTGGTAGTTATAAACGTCAACATGAAGAACTGTACAGTCAGAGTTATGCTGAAGTTGGTGTGTTATTTGCTTCAATGCCTAATTTCTCAGGTTAGTACTTAAATTTATAATGACTTAAATTATTATAAAATGCATCATTTTAGATTTCTACTCAGAAGAGACAGTTAACAATCAAGGTTTAGAATGTTTAAGATTCCTCAACGAGGTCATATCTGACTTTGATGCTGTAAGAAGTTTTTTTTTTAGTATTTTATAAAATAATAATAATAATTTTGATTTATTACTTGATTATAGCTTCTAGAGCAACCACGATATCAAGATATTATTAAAATTAAAACTATTAGCTCCACTTATATGGCAGCTAGTGGACTAAACCCATCTAGAGTAGTTAAGGTGAATAATCATAAATTATGAATTTAAAAAAACACAATAGAAGTTAATAAAATTTAGAAATCATATCAAATAATAATTTTATGAATGATAACTATTATTTTTAAAGATGAAAATAATACTAGAATAACTTTAAGTTATAGTATAAGATTAAATATATTTTTTATTTTAGCCGAATGATCCTATCGAAATTAGGTGGGCACATTTAGCACTACTCGTTGAATTTGCTTTTGATCTAAAAAAAGCACTTCAGGGAATTAATGAACAAAGCTTTAATCACTTCGTCTTAAAAATGGGTAAGTAGATTATCATAATAATACATTTTTTTTATTGAAATTATTGATACGATTGTTATTAAATAACTCTTAATATTAATATTAATATTTATAATTTATTTTTTATTTTATTAATAAATAATATATTTATAAAGAACGATTTAATAATTTAAATATCGTGTTTTAAAATAGAATGATTTATATGTTTTCAGGCATAAATCATGGACCCATTACGGCCGGAGTTATCGGGGCTAGAAAACCTCACTATGATATATGGGGAAATTCTGTGAATGTAGCGTCTCGAATGGAGAGCACGGGTAAAGCTGGCTGTATACAAGTATGTGATTCACTTGCTTTATATATAATATTGTAAATACTGTAATGTAAATACATGTGCTAGGATCTTTTTAGGATAAAACATATTACATTAACAAATAAATATTATTTAATTCTATTAGAATGACGCGCAATAGGTACATACTATGTATTCAAATTTTACATATAATACATCCAAATATTAAAATTAAAATCATCAAAAATATATAAAACTAACTTATATTTTATATCAAATAGGTAACCGAAGAAACTTGTTATATTCTACAGCACTTTGGGTTTAAATTCGAGCAGCGAGGTTTAGTAGCAGTCAAAGGCAAGGGACAATTGATGACTTACTATTTGGTAGGCAAAGGTCTTCAGCCAAGTGTAGTACCACCACCAATCATGGAAACGTTACCTGAATTGGAAGAAGAGGACTCGGACGAGTGTCAAGTAGTCCGACAAGCACTATTGCCAAAAACAATGGCTGATATACACAACCATCACATGTTTTCATCCAATACGTCCAGTTAATAGTAAAATTGAATAAAATTGTCATTCTAATGACACCTAGGCATTTCCAATTTGCTATTTAATTCCTTCAAATACATTACTTTAAAGTTGTATTTGTTTGTGAGACCATAATGAATTATAAATTATTCATATTGAATACAAAGTGCATTAACCATCGCATAAAGACCAAATAGATAAATATCTACCTTATAAATATTAAAAAGAGAGGCCAAAAATTTTGATAAAGCAACGTAGTATAATTTAAGAAAATTTTCATAATCATAAATTTGTTATTATTTCTAAATAAGTTTCTCTTGAGTTGTTTGAATACGTACTTGAGAATATTACTTGCAAAACTTCTGCTTAAGAATCATCTATGATTATTATGGCACATAGAAATAATTTTTTTTTGTAATATGAATTTTTAAAATGTATTTATATATTAGCATATTATGCTTTAAAGCATTCATTCGCATTTATTACATAAATAAATTTTAAAAAAATCAAAGACGATTTCCTTTTTCTTTAATATGTATAGTCTTTATTCATAACAAAATATTCTATGTATAAAGTAATATTATTAATAATATTACTATGTAATATGTTGTACACTTGTATAATAATAAAATACCTATTATTTTAAATGGCATACCTAACCATATATAAATATTTCTAGTTTACCATAAGCATAAACAAAAAAAACAAGTGGTAGATTATCAACTTAAGTCCTCTGAGTGAAAAGTTTTCATGAGTTTTATTATAAGAGCTCTACTTCATTATCGGTGACCATCATAGCTAACTAAATATTTATAATATTTAAAGAAAAATAAATGTCTGTTATCATTCACTAAATGACATAAATTTTTGTCAAGAAATATTCCTATAAATGCTATTGTCAGTTTTGTAATACTTGCATTGTAATTGTAAACTTTCAGATTAAAAAAAAATATTGTATGTATTGTAATTGTTAGATTACCTTCCTAGTCGGTAAATTATGTGTTAGTATAGTAAGTAGTTACATTAAAACCTTAATTTCGTTACCAATGATTTTATTTTGTGCTATGTATGGTAAAAGAGTATATTAATTATTATAATTATTGTTATATTTATTGAATATCAACATATTTTAATTTTAAATAGCACTTATTTAATTATCAAGATCTACCTTTCGAACATTAAAATAGTCGAAAATAAAAATGTTGTATAAAATACTCAACTAAACTAATATTTGTAATAATTGATTGTGATTCATCGTTAGTAATCGCACATAAAAAATGCGATTAAATAATAAATGAAAATTTATTAACTAAAAAATATTGTAGCAATTTTTAGTTCCTTACAAAATACTCTCATTTGTAGTAATAATTATTACATAAATATTTTAACTAAAAAGTTATTTTTAATTATGTACGGAGTTCAATAACCTAAAATTTGTATTACAATATTTTTCAAAGATAGTTGCATATACACAGTAGTAAAGGGGCTAAAATTACAAAAATAAATAAATAAACAAGAAATTATTTTTGTATTACTCCCTCATTTATAAAATTCTAAATTTAATTGATTTTACTGTTTAGTTGTAATAAATCCTACCTTGAAAAACTATAATACCTAGAAATGTTTCTTTTTTGTATTCAGCTATTTATCTTACCTTATCTTATATTAATAAATCTTAATATAAAATATTTGTTTAAATAAAATTGTTGTATTATAAAATCACTTTACTGGAAAAAAACTTAAAATTTTAATTTTTCATTTTTGTGTAATATTGCAAGTTACAATTTACTAACGGAAATTCATTAAGTTTAAAAAATTTATCACAAAAATGAAATTACTCGAAAAAATATCAAAGAATTACTATTATTATCGTACACATTATTCATCAATTATTTTCCTTTCTCTTAAGTATTTTCTTTTTTCATATTCATCAATTGAAGACTGTAATTTTTGATAATAGGTGTGTATGTTACTTAATAATTCTCCTGCATCTTCGGTTTCTTGGTCTAAATCTAATATTTGAATGTCCATGATATTCACTTCAGTGTCGTATTTATTTTCCCAAAGTTGTATTTCACTATTTAATATTTCTGTGTATTTTATTAAAAATTGTTTTGCCTCATTAGCACCTTTATTCTCTATGTCATCTTTATTGTTTACATATTGTATTTGATCTTGCAAATTATTTGTTTCTTTCAACAATAATTCTTTATTATCGGCCATCCATTGTTCTTCCCATGTTTGAACATAACTCTGTTCAGCTTCTAATAAAAATAACATTTTTTCCCATTCTTGGGCTGCTAATTTTTCTTTCATATTAATTTGCAATAGATCTGACTATTAATTAAGTATTATGATGTTATTTTTAATTGCCTTATTTGTAATTTAAACAATTCTGAAACTCACTTTATACTTTTTTTGTAATTTTTTTTGTTTTTTACTTAACTGTGATAACTTTTTTTTATTGTAAGTCCATTCTTTTTCAAGGTCTTTTTCATCTTGATATGATTTTATCATATCATAGATTATTTTTTGTAATGTATTAAAAGTTCTAGACGATTTTAATTCTTGGATAGTCTGGCTTAATGTTTTCAAGACCAGCAAACGTTCTTTTTGCAGTTTTTTTGGCCCTTCTCGGTCAAATATTTTATCATTAATGTGGCAGGTTTCAATCAAATAAAATGGATCTCTGTAAGGTTCTCTTTCCATTCTTACTTGAAATGGAATAATCTCCAAATCAGTGTCATTTATAGAGTGTATTTTATCAATTGTGTCCAGAACTTCTAACTGATCAAGTGCCTTTTCGAAAATACAAATTACACTCAATGTTTCAAATGGTGGTAAAGTAGTCATTTGTATAGAAGGTAATAGATGTAATGTTGAATGAAAACTATTATCAGACGAGTTATCAAGAAGACTCTTCTGGACATTTTCTGAAGAATCTGTAACTATTTCATAAGATCCTTTATTTTTATTAATTTTAGTGAATTCATTTTTTTGAAAATCTCTACTTAAAGATATTCTTTCTTCGTCATCATTTTTTTCTGTTTCTAAATCTTCTTCTTCAACAATTTTTTTTTCTTCAGAACGATTTTGTTTTTCACTTAATGTGTTCTTTTCTGACAAGCTAATAAATTCTTTAGAATCATTTGTATATGATTTTTCGATACTTTCTGCGCTTTTTTTCATATGTACTTGAGAACTATATTCTTCAAAATGCTCATCTTCAAATATGTTATTACTATCGGTGACACTATACATAGAAACGTTTATGAGCGAGTTTGAAAAATGATCATCTAACAAAGGAGTTTTTTCTAAACTTTGATGATGTTTCATCAAATGTTTATCATCATTGATTAGTTGTTCAAACTTTTGTAGTGTATTAGTTTTAGGTGTCAAATTTTTTATAGTTAACTTTAACGTTTCCATTTCGATAGAAAATCTCATTTTTTCAGATAATTTTAGTTCCTCTATAATAATTTCGTCCATATTTATATGTTACGCGATGAGTTACTCAAAAAGTACAATTATTTAAAGAAAAAAATGTCTCTCTTTAAACAATTAAAAAAAATAATTTAATGTAACTATAGAAATTATTTTTTTGTTTATAATGATCGATTGTAAAAATGAATATAAAAAGGCTCTGCTGAATTATCAGAGGTCTGAACAATAAGTTTATATATTAGTTAATTAGTTTTTTCGATACACTAGGTACAGTTTAAATAAATTTATAAAATTATTCCCATGTCAATTTTTTATTTTTAACTAGTATACTAATTTTTTAATGTTTAGTAATATTTTAGAGTAATGCTGCAAAATATTTATGTCATAAAAACACTTTTTTGACCCATTTATACAATTAAATAATTAATGGTGAATGTTTAAACTTGAATTATCACCACAAGTCTACTTTATTTCATTTGAGAATATACAAAAATTGTATACTTTTTACCTGCTAAAAATAAAACCTGCTAAAGTAAAAAATTTTTTATAACAATAGATTTTTAAAAATATTGTTTAATTGTTTATAATCAATAATAATTAGGTAAGTACAAAGATAGTAATTAGGCTAACTTATTTAAAATAAAACTCATAATAATTCTGGTGAAACTGTTAAGGAAACTTATTCAATAAATTAAACTATAAAACAGAAATAATTTGTAATTCATACAATTATATATTTTGTGAAAACCGAATGTTTAACAAAATTTTAAGTTATGAAATTAGTAACAATTAATATTTAATTAAAAAAAAACATTTGTTTAATAATTATAAACATGAATAAAATAAAAATCTATGTCTTATAAAATATTTGATATAATATTAGAGTTTATTAGATGGTGATTTTTGAGAAATAGTGTTGCTAAACTTAGTAGCAATTTCTTCAAATTGCTTAAGAGTTTCATCTTTCTGTAAAAATATTACTTTTAATTTTAATTTATCCAATAAAACGAATGCATTACCTTAAAAAAACAAAACCGTAAATAATCGGAAGCCCAATCTTTATTTTGTTCAGAAAAAAAAACTGAAAATGGAATGCCTTGTAATTTGAAGTTTTTAACTAACCACTTGACAAATTTGAAATCTTTATACTTGTCTATTTCAGAGCTAATATCAATTTTTTTCTCTATAATTATAATAGTTGAGTAAATACAACTGTGCATACTTAAATAATTCAAATAAACATACCATAGTTAGTCCAATCTGCTATCATAAAATATCCTCCATCAGGTATAACAGGTTTAAAACCATTATTTGCTAATATTTGAGCGGTAAAGTTTAACTTTGGTTTTAACTCTTTAGAAATTCCTTGAAAATAACTTTCAGGGGTGTTGAGGTTATTGATTTCATGTTCAAATCCTTTAGCTACAGCCTCCTGATACAAATAAAAATCCATATTTTACTAAATTTTTTCATAAAATGTATACATTTATAAAAATAAAATAACTATCTACTATACAGAGTGATTTTTTAGCTTCGATGCGAAGCGGAGAAGGTATTAATTTTACTATGATGTGTTTTTTTTTTTTTTTATGTCTGTTGCCACTTTTTCTCAGCTCTCACTGGACCGATTTCTTTCAAAAATACGTCAAAAGATCACAAATCGTATCTAGTTGAAGACATTACCCTTAAAAATTGAAAAAAATTCCCTCGTTCCCCGCAAATGGGGGAAATATCCAAAAAAATTACAAATTTA